CTGAGAGGTGATAAGGAGCCCCTCCGTTCGCTGTAGGAGGTGCCTCTGCCCCCAGACCTGCTTCCCTAACCAGGCCCTTGCCTGCAGGAGCCCAGGCAGCAGCCCGTGTACCAGCAGTCGCCCTATGGACCCTGCCACTATGAGATGAAGCAGTTCCTGGAATGTGCTACCAACCAGAGAGACCTGACCTTGTGCGAGGGCTTCAACGAGGCTCTGAAGCAGTGCAAGTATAGCAATGGTGAGTCTGCGCCCTGTCCCCCAGGAGGGCTGGGCAGTGAGGGAACTGCTGACAGGAGAATAACCGAGAGCGTTCAAAGGTTGCAGAAGCAATCTGTTGAGGTTATAGTGCCCTTCAAGGCTTTACATAGGAAGCAGTTCTGCCTTTCCTGTGCCCTGGAATGCAGAAGGGAACTGGAAAGGGCGGGAGAAATGATTGTGACCATGTGTCTGTGAAGGTGAGGAGGCTGTAGGTACCCTCTTAGAGGTTCCTCTCTTGTGGTGGTGGGAAGCCTGCTGCTTTCCCTGTTTGGTTCCCTAATTCCTGTTGCATCTGTTAAAAGCAGATGTCAGCTGTTATGTCTTGATCTGGTCACCTTAGGTAAGAGAGCTTTTATTAACTCCAGCTGCAGGAATGTGCACCTAATGCTGAACTTGTGGTTTCTCCCCTGTAGGTGTTTCTTCTCTCCTGTGAAGAATCTGCCCCCTTGTAGGGAAGAGGAGCCTGGTGTAAAGCCTTGCTGCCTACAGGGAGCAGAAGGATGAGCTGGAGGGAACAGACTGGCCAGACCAGGAGTCTTCTAGTGGTAATTCACTTCTGGTAGGGAAGGAAAGGAATGGTTGGACCTGTGGGACTTCAGAATTCAGATAGTGCTGTATTTATTACAGAGAAATAAAGGAGTTTATTTGGACCTGTCACTTGTGCATGTTCTTTATTTAATTCTCAAGCTAAAATTAAGCTACCAAAATGTTAACAGTATCAGCCACTTAAAGGACAAGGCACAGTTGTGTATTTCCTGCAAACAGGAGGGCAGCCTAGCAAGGACTGTGCCTGCATGACTTGGCAAAAGCAGATCCACAACTGACCTGAGAGTGGATTGGCTGCACTCCAGGCAGAGGAGGGGCTGGAGGGACGTAATCTGAGATGTGTCCTACAGTATTTTCAATAACAAATTATTTTTCCATTGATATCCTCTTCCTGAAGAGCTGTTCTGACCCTGGAGCTAAGAAAATATGATCTGTCTGGCTGTGTGACTCGGATACAGTTGGCTGATCTTACTTAAAAGCCTTAGCGGGTTATGCAATGTTCTCAAGGTCACCAGCATCAGGTGAAGTTCGGAGCTGCTTTCCTCTTACAGTCAGTATAGCAGAACAGTCTTGAGTGCAGACTGGCCTCCAGCAGGAGACCCTGCTCCTCATTTTGGTGTGAAAGAGAATTTTGAGGCTTCAGCTGGAGTTTTAGTGGCACAGCAGTGAAACCATGACACTTTCAGGTGCTTAACTGCTGAATCTTCATGGAAGAATTCATCTTAACTGCTGACCTTTGGGTGTTGAATATTGGGCAAGTTCTGAGCCACCTGCCTGGATCTGTGAGGAAATCCAGGTCTAGATGGTAAAAGCTGGCAGCAGATACTGGAGGCTGGTGTTGAAAGTCCTGCCCTGTCTAAATGTCGGAACCTAAATTCTTGGTGGTAGATAATGTCCTAAGCTGTGCCTGGCCTTATTTGGGGTGCCTTGTGCTCTCCAGGGAAAAAGTAGAGACTCACAAGCCTAAGTGCCCTGTGTGCTTAGCTGCCCCAGTCTGAGCATAGAGGAACCACTGTAATGAAGTTGTTCTAACTCCCTTTAAGAAATAAATACTAGACTAATGTTGGTGTGTGCTGGTCTGGGTGGAGAAGCTGTTAAGGAGCACCTGCAGCAGGTGTGTGCTGTCTTCTGACCCATCTTGGCTAAGTGCTAGCAATGCTGCTTCTGGAGTTGGAGAGACTCTGGATGTCTCCTGAACAGCTTTTCCTGGTGACTGCAGCGGACAATCTCTAGAAGGCCACTGCCAGTGTGGTGATGGTGTTGAAGGCAGACTCATCCAGTGATGCAGGTGCATGTTCCTCTGGCTGCTGGTGCAGGTGGGTTGAAAGGAGGTGCGGTTTCTTGTCACTTGGGAGTGCAGACCATGCCATGGGAACGAGTGACCCCTTGAAGCAGGAGGCTGGTGCTTGTTCTTGGCTGTGGTGCTGTGTTTGCGTGGTCAGCGTGCAGCTTTGGATGTGGTAGTGTGAACCTCCGAGAGGAGCAGGGGGATTCCAGGAAGAGGAGCTAAGTAGCAGAGGATTCTTGCCGAGCTGGGGGTGAGTGCTTGGGCAGTACGGCTCCGTGGTTGAGCCCTGGTGGTGGCTGTGCTGCGTTTGCAACCAGTAGTGGGTCTGTTCCTCATCTAGGGGTGCCCTTGAGCTCTGAGCTCTTCTTGCTCTGTGAGGTGGGCCTGGGCCTGGCTGGGGTGCTGGTGAGGGGCTGAGCCCTTCTCTGCAAGGAGCCCCTCCTCCAGTGGTCTCTCATCTGGGTGTTTGCCGAGAGCTTCTGCAGCTGATCTGTGGAGTGATCCCCCCCAGAGTTGGATGTTTTCCTTCTGTGTTGGTCAGTTGCCCCTTGCTGTGTTGAGTGAGGCTATGCCAACCTGTGAGACTACAGCCTGGGAGAGGGACTTCTGGGTTTCCTAATCTCTCCTGTTGTCCTTCCCTCCCTGTTTGTTCCAAGGAAATGTCCCCTCTTTCCTTTGGACCCCTCCAAGCTGGGGGTGGGGTTGTGCCTGGTGTGGGTTGGGAGGGCAGCAAGTGCCTGCTGTCACACTAACTAGGAGGGATTCTGCAAACCAGCTCTGGCTTCTGCTTGTCCCTTCTCTTGCTGCCTGAATGCACTTGCTACCCATAGCCATTACCAGTCCTAAAGCTCAGTGTTGTGAGGGGGCATAGTGGAATGCAGAGGACAATCCCATGGGTGGTGTACAAGGGCTGTGGTGGGGAGAGGAGTCATGCCTGCACCCCTGGCTCCTCTGTGGAGGTGAGGTGGGTGCCTGTCTCTTACCTGCTAGGTCAGGGTAGTGTTTTCCCAGGTTCTCTAGCAAGGATTCATAGCAGGTGGCTTCAGAGCTTTCTCCTGCCAGCAGAATGGGAGAAATGGATTAACCTCTCTCCTGGCTGAAAACCGAAGTCAAGACTTGTAGCTGGGGCAGGCGGCTCTGCCCAGGAAAGGTTCCTCCTCCCCCAGAGCAGCCACCTCAGACAAATACAAGGTTCAGCTCTAGCTCTTCATCTGAGCTGGCTTCTGTCTCCTCAGAGCTACTGTGCCATGTCTAAGTGACTGCTGAATAGAGCCCCTCTCCAAAGCTGCATCTTTGTTTCTAGGAAGTGACAGGGTTTTCCTGGTCTGTGGGACAGTAAATTGAAATGGTGTGTGACACCCCCCCTGCAAAGCAGACCCTCCTTGGTGCAGAGGCTGAACTGTGCTGTCTCGACGAGGAACTTACGGACGACTCTGATGAGGATGTAGCGCTCCCTTTCCCGAAGGTATTTACTGGCGAATTCAGATGCAGGATTTTCCACTTTGCTCAGGTTCATCAGGGTGCCAGTTTCATCCAGAAGATCAATGCAGTCTGGAGGGAGAGAGATGTGGTAAAGAAAGTCCAATGTGCCCCTGTGCGGCTAGCATGAGCCTGTGGGGTTTAGAGGTATTTTCCTTGGCAAGTTATGCTTTGAAGAGAATCTGTTGAGATCTAGAGGGAAGGAGGTTTGCTGCCCCTTTCCCTGCGCTTTGGGATGATCTGGGATTCCCATGTGACCTGTTTGTCACCCTCTGCTGCTTCTCTATGGGTGAGCACCGGTCCTTCTGGTGACCGCTGCTCAGGAGCACTCGTACCTTCAGGCCTGCACTGACACTTCCTCTTCAGGTGAGCCGTGAGGATCAGGACGCGGCACTGCAGGTTCACCATCTCTTGGCAGTTGGCTGCAGACAGGGAATGAGACCTGAGATATGACTGTGGTCACCTCGAATCGGGGGGCCCCATGGACTTGGCAGGAGGCACAGCAAGTGGCCAAGAAGTGCCTGCTGTTGTGGCCAGCAAAGGTAGGATCCCTGCATGGCCATCAGCAGGGCTTTGAGTTGCTGTATTACAGCCATGTCTGCTGGTGTTTGGTGCTGGGAATGCTCCAGGTTAGGAGTGGAGATGAACATTTTGACTTGGGGAAAATGCTTCTGATTCATGAAGTGCCTCTGTCCTTCAACTTTGTTTCATCAAACATGAGTAGGAAAAAGCAGTGAGCCCTGGCCCTTGCCAGTCCCCTTCCACAAACTTCTCCTAGTCACAAGAGGAAAGAGCTGGAGATCACGGCTGAGTCACTAGGGGACATTTTGGCTGTGAACTCTCACCAAGTTTGTCATGATTGAGAAATCCCCAGGGCTGACATGTCAGTAGTCAGAGCTGGGGATCCAATTCAAATAGCAGAGGGAGCAAAGGCTTAGGACCATGTGTGTCTGGCGGCTTCAGCTGCAAGTGTCTAGGGTCAGGCAAAGGCTCTCAGCCAACTGGGCAGGGTGAGGACAGGGTCTGCTTATTCCCTCCCACCAGCTGCAGATATTTGCTCTCTGAAGCTGAGGGCTGGGATTTGAGCCAGGGAACCCTTCCCACACAGCTGGGAGCAGAGGAACTCTGCTGGCAGCTGTCATTTCTGTCCCATGGCTGCTCTTGTTGTGTCTAGATAAGCAGAGCCCCCTCCAGTGATTCCCCAGAGCTGCAAGGTTGGGAACTCATCCTTGCCTCTGGCCTCCCTCCCTGCAATTAACTTAGCTCTGCTGGGATGGTTTTCCTCCATGATTCATTGTGTAGGAGTTAAAGATCTCCCCCCTTTTTTTTTTTGGCAGATAAGGCAAAGGATGCTGATGTGCCCTGGCAGAGCTCTCCTGCCCTGTTTCCTAGCCACTGGGCATTGCTGTGCATCAAGGTGCCATGTCCCTCCCTGCCCCTCATGGGGCCACCACCTGGTGGTGGTGAAGATGGTCCAGGTGACCAGCCAGCCCCCAGAGCTGAGGCAAAGCCAGGGCTTTCCGCATGTACCTCCATATCTCACTGTAACGAACATGGCGTTTGGCATGCCTCTTCCCGGAGCTGCTCAACTCCAGCCGGGGACCGGGCCTGCGATGTGGGGGCTGCTCGTGCTGGGTGCTGTCCTGCAGGCAGTGGGGATGACAAAATGCCCGATGGCGATGGTGTTAGCTGCTGGAGAGCCCAGGGGAGGGGCTGCGTTTCCAGCTGATGCTGTTGTGGTTTCAGTAGCCAGATTTCCCAGCAACGGGGAATGGCCCCCGCAGATTCCCAAGCCTCCTGCAGCCGGGCAGTGGGAGAAGGCGGGTAGAGCAGGGGCTGGGCTAAGCAACAGGCTGCTGTGAGGGCTGTCTGCTCTGTGTGGTCCCAGCTGCTCTGATTTTCAGACTTTTTGCAGTCTTGTGGTGTTTCCTGTCCCCGCTGTTTGTCCTGCAGCTTGTCTGGGCTGTGATGGTGCCAGATCTGCCCACCCTGCCCCTAGCTGAGCCAAGTGCTGCTGCAAAAGCAGCTGCGGTCTCCTCTGCAAGATGGTCAGACGCCACTGGAAAAACCTTCCTCAGGACCCTGCCTGCTCCGGTCCTACTCTGGAGCATGAGGTAGTGGGGTTTTGCAGCCTGGGAAGAGCTGTGGGCACTTGTAAGGACAGCAGCTGTACCTGTACTGCAGAGCAGGAGGAAGCCACAGGGCTTAGCAAATGTGGGTTGGTGCAGCAGTAAGTCCTGGTCCACGTTTTGCCCTGGCCTGATGGGGTAGCTGTGCTTGGTCAGTGATGTGTCAATCTGGGATAAAATCTGCTTCGTTTGGGAGAGTTCCTTCTGTTCACTGAGCACCTCTTGTACCTCATGCGGGAGGGAATAAAGCTGGCAGAACAGGGTGAGCACGGTGCTGGGCTTGTACCTGCTCTTGCACTTTGCACAGCCAGGTGCTTTCCTGCACCCCTCAGCTGTCAGAGTGATATGCATGGCTTCCGCACCATCTGCATCTTCCATTTGTGGCCTAAATGTTGCTGTACAAGTGATCCTGCAGCAGTGCTTAGGGGGCCCTGTAGCAGCACCCCCTTTTCGTGCGGAGATGCTGAGACATACAAATGAAATCACTTCCCCGGGCTGGTCAGCAGATGTGGAGGACCTGAATGGTGGGAACCAGTAACAACACTGATGTACTGCACATCCAGTGCTTGCTGCTCTGTGGACAAATTCCCTTTCTCCAAAATGCCCCTCCTTGGATGAGGTGGTGATTTCCTTCTGCCTTGGTGGGTCTTTGTTTCACAATCTCTGTCTAATCCGTGCATCTGAGCTGCTGGGGCCTTGGTGACAGGGTGTATGTGTGACACTCCTCACCTAAAACACATGTGCAGGTTGATTCATATTCACCTTGCCACCACCTTGCAGAGTTTGGGGACTGCTGGTGGGCAACAGCTGGAGCTGCAGCGTGCTTGTACCTGCACAGGCTCAGGGGCCTGGCTGTATCAAACAGAAGCTGCTGATATGCTGCAATGGCAGGACTTCACAAGGCCAGAAGACATCAAGACAAAGCCCTAGCCTTGAATGGGCTTTGGAGCTGGTCTTGTGCAGCTGTTGCTGCCTGCTGTAGGCTGGCTCTAATAAGTCTGATACAGCAGGTTTGCCTGGATGGGCACAGGTGGGACACAGCCAGGCTTTACTGCATGTGCAGGGAGTGCTGTGTGGCACCTATACACTCCACATCCCCCTGGCAGATGTACCCCTGGCTGCCCTCCTGTACTGCAGCAGCCCCTGCAGCCTGGCTGTGCAAGGTGCTATATGGTCCCATCAGGTCTAACTGGCACCTCACTACTTCATGGTGCTGCAGGTGTGGACCCTGCTCTGTGGCATCTGTGTTATAGCTGCTCTGATCGCCCAGTCATCAACTTTTACTCTCATTTTCCCCTCACTGCTCCCAGGGGAGTCTGTGTCACAGTAAATGGGGCAAGGTTGTGTGGGTAACTGTTTTTGTTAGACCAGCTGATAAAGAATGCAGAAAAAATAGGCGAGCCGTTGGGTGCACCAACCCTTGCTCAGAGCACTGCAGCATGGCAAAGCAAAGCAAGTGTCTAGCTTGCTGTGTCACATCCTTGGATGATGGTGGTGCTTCCTCTTCAGGATCTGCCCGTGCCAGAGACATGGTGCTGGGGTGTTCTAACAATGCAGGGCTCTGTCTCAGAGCTCCATTTTCCCTCAAACCCAGAGCATGCAGGGACCAGTTGCTTTAGGAACCACTTGCAAACATCTTTGGCTTGGGGACACCTTGAGAGCAGGGCTGGGTGCTGCAGAGGGGAGGGAAAGGGCCATCCCTGGATGGTGATGTGGTGGCATCAGGGGGGCTGAGCCTGCCTGTGGAGGGCAGGAGGTACCCACTGGTTATGGGACACCGCAAAGTGCCTGCCGACCACCCTGCTGTGAAGGACTGCCATCGGCCGGTGGCTGGAGGGTGCAGAGACTTGCTGGGGGGAGACCAGCCCTTGACTGTGGCTGGCTGTGTGATGTGGCATCTCTGGGCCCTGTGTTGGGTGTTACAGAGGAGGGGCTTTACACCTGGTGAGTCCGGCAGCCTTTTGCTGCAACGGTCTGCTGTCTTTCTGCACAAGGCACCAGCTGTGCTGCAGTTGTGTCTTGCTGCACTAGCTCCCTTGGGAAATGCCTTCCGGCAGGTGACTTCGGCGGCCACCCCCGCATGTTTGCCCCTGGCTGCTGTTTCTGAGGTGGCCCTGGCAAAGAGGCAGCGCTCTCAGCACCTTTGGCAGCTCCCAGCCCATGCTGCAGGGCAGTCATTCTTGTCACAGCGATGGAGCTGCATGGAGAAGGGAGCAGCAACTTTCCTTGTATTGCTTCTGCGATGAGACAGCTGCCGGGGGGCTCTGGCACTTCCTGTCTTTCATTCTCCCTGGTGGCAGAAGAGCCAGCCGGCTCCCAGCCTGCTGCTACCACAGGGCATCCTTGGCATTGTGTGGCTCAGGCTCCTGGTCTCCTGCGCACCTGGTGGCAGAGGCCTCGAGGCTAAACGTCTGCGTGTAAGACCACAGAAAAACCTCTCTTCTCCCCCCATCAGAGAGGAGAGATGGTCAGTGATGCCTCCCCACCGTACCCCAGTGCCTGGGGCAGAGGGTGGTGGGGTGGGCTGTGCGTGCATCGGTGCACCTAGAGGAAATGGCCTAGCCTGGGGCAAAGGTGGGCGGTGGGTTGCAATGCTTAGCTCTCGCCCCACTGCTTTGAGCCCCCTCCCTGAAGCCCAGCTGCAAGCAAAGTGAGCAACGTGGGGAGCTGGAGTCCCCGAGCCCCCTGTGTCATTTACATATGCCTCACCAACGCCAGCAGCACAGCAACCTGGGTTTGTGTAGCATCGCAGACCCTCTCTGAAACAGCCTCCCTTCCTCTGCTTCCTGCCATGGCCCTGGGTTTCATGGTCCTGCTCCTGGTGGGAACAATGGGGACAGGTAAGGGTGGTGTGACTGAGCTAGCTGTTGTCTGGGGGGGGCACTGCAGGGTGGTGAGCAAGACTGGACTGTATGGGGGATGTTAGTCTGAGTAGGGTGTTTTGCTCCAGGGCTGTGTGGTGTGATGAGCAGGACGGAGGTTGGGTAATGGGGTTGCCTCAAGGGAGCAGGCGGACATTTTGGGGCTGAGGGCGATGGGGGACATGGCTCAGCCCATCGGTAACTGCATCCCTTGGTGTGCGCAGCTTCCAGGGCTCAGCCCGTGCTGACCCAGCCATCCTCTGTGTCAGTGCTGCCTGGACAGACTGCTCGGCTGTCCTGCACCCTGAGCCCCCAGTACAACATCAGCGAGTTCGGCATCTCCTGGTACCAGCAGCGCCCAGGGCACTCCCTGAGGTACCTGCTCTATTACAACTCTGAGCGAGACAAGCACAAGCCCGCCAAGATTCCTGACCGCTTCTCTGCTACCAAAGACCTCGCCAGCAATGCCTGTATCCTCATCATCGCATCTGCCTGCCATGAAGACAACGGCAACTATTACTGCTCCCTGTCACATGCCTTCAGCTGGTTTTAGAAACGGGCAACAAAAGCTTTCTGCATTTTCCCTTGCAACCCTGATGCAAAGCCTCAACAGGGATAATGGCAGCCCTAGGAGGAATGGGAAATGACCCTGTTGCATTTGAGCAAGCCCAGCAGCACTGCGTTGTGCTGTGACGTGCAGCAACCTCCTCTTTGACCCCAAGCGTCCCCCGTGGAGCATTAGACAGTCTGATACGGTGCAAGACCTGCCAGGGCTCAGCCCAGGAATACACAGGAGCAGGGATCTCCTGCTGGGGTGGGAGAACGGAGGGCTCTGCCATGGCCTGACTTTCCTGGGCTCTTCCAGCACTTGGCACAACGCAGGCTTGATCCCAGCTTGGGCTTCTGCGCAGTTTGGCTCACCTGATAATAAAGGTTAATCCTTAGCCACGCGGCTTGTGTCATGTATGTAGCGTCCAGAGGAGCACCTTGGGCGTCTCTTTGCGGGGATGGCGCCATGCCCTGGGGTACCTGAGATACGAGGCTGAGCCAAAGGCGCTATGGCGTGGAGTTTGGTGGGATCTCTTGGGCCTGGATAGAGCTGTATCACCCACCCCTGCCAGAGCCCATCTTCCCCAGAGAGACGGAGACCCCCACCGCAGGTGCCACCCGCAGTGCCCTGCCCACAGGG